ACAGTCTGTGTTTCTTTGTGTCTCCCACTCCCCATCCATCCCCCTCCTCACTCCAGCACATTTCTGTGCAGTGAGCAGAGTTTTAGATAAACAGTCTCAATCCTCTATCGAAGAATGGGAGTCGGAGGAGATGACGTCAGAGGAAAGAGAAATAACCATCACTTCCAATCTACTTCAGTCCGTTACAGGACCGTGTTCCAGGCTGGAGAACGACGACAGCTACAATTCATGCTTTTCATCCAAAACCATCACTGACTGCTTGTGTTTTCCTTGTATATTATTTAAAATTCTTAAATTTCACTTATCAATAAGTGAACAGAAGTTCTAAGATAAGCTTTTGTAGCTCATTTAACTGCAGTTGAATAACCTCCCCAGTCTTACAGTAGAAGATATGATGTGTAATGGTTAACTCGCACTGTAATCCGGCAGCTACAGCTGGTGGAAATGCATTTCTCTGACATGTCGGGTCAAAAGAAAGAAGCTTCAGTGTTTAACGTATGGAACAATATGATAAAGGAGGAGGCATCTATCCCAACATGGAGCCTCATTTATGAAGCCTGAATACTTTGAGTAAACCATCATTTCTCTATCCTCATGTCAATGATAGAGAAAAAAATACTGAGATGTATGTCTGCAATGTGGATAAATCAATGGGACAAATCTATCCAAAGCATAAAAATACCTGTGAGCTTTCTATAAAACTAATGAAGTAATTCATTAGTTGTACATATATAGATATATGTGTATAGATATATGTGTAAAAGAAGAATATAGTCCAATTAAAGTGTTTTTAACTATCAAACCTGATTGCATTTATGCTGCTATTTCAAATATATTCAAAAGGTTGAGAGTCACTGAAATGGGCAATCATCTGACTTTTCAGTATTTCACCAATAATTTTTACCAAATGAAGTCAATCAAGAGAAGCTCTGTAAATCACAATCTGTGGCTGATTATTTGGTCAATCTCTACCATTCCTTTCACTCTTCTCATCACCAGAGATGAATATGAATGCACAAGGCTGTTGTAATAAGCAATTAATCAATTCATTAAATGATAAATTAAAATGATCTTGATAATTTCCATTCTCATGATCAATCATTTTGAAGGGCACATATTCCTTTCTATTTATGGTTTTGGTTGTGTGTGTTTTTCACGCTCTACATTTGTGTTTGGTTGTGTTTTATTTTGGATGTATAAAATATATTTCAGTGTTCTTTACTAAATCAAAGTTTACTGGTCTTTGAGAGGGCAAATCTGCATTATTATACCATTATCAACATATTTCTTGAAAATAGTCTCAAAACAACAATATTATTTTTTTATCACAATAATCAGACTGCAAATATCACATCTTTGTCCAAAGATCTAACTTTTTATCATCAAGTAGCTGTCTGAGGATCTGATTCATGGCTTTCAGAGAGTTATCACAGAGCACCAATCCTGTTTGAGATGCTCTTAAATAAATAAATGGTGCAAGCAGCTCTGCTTCACATTGTGACATCCTTCACCTCGGTTACCATCGTCAAACTATTTCTCTGTCTGATGAATTGGATCTATGGTGGGTTCCGGGGGGCCTACTTGGGGTGTCCACTCTTGAACCTAAATGTCCTATACATTGTTGTCATGCATGGCCCCCTCATCTGGACACACACAAAACTTCAAATGTGCAGAAATGTGCCAGTCAGAAGCTGAGAGATCAGATCCTGCAGAAAGCACACACAGGCCAGGGTGCGAAGCAACACACACACATACACACACACCTACATGGTGGGCCACTTCAAAGGCATTCCACAACATGCACAGCACTGTCGGAAAATGCCAATATGCGCTTCAGTGAAGAGCGCCTGTGAATCCAAACAGGCTACAGACAAACACAAACAGAGGGCAGCTCTTACAGTCCGGGTCTTTTGATTTGCGCCACTTCTCTTGAATGAAAGACGCTGCTCTAGACATTTTATTCAGTGTAGGAATAATGGACAAGAATGTGTGGAAAGCATGCACTGATAAATGCATATGCACTCCTGAAAGACCTGAGCTCACAGGCTTTAAAGGAGCAAAAAGAGGGGGGAAAACTTCCAGCGGTACAACTTGTTTTTCAGGAGTTAGACTAATAAGACAATTCAGAAGTTGCTTCAGAAAACATTTCACTGATAAGTATGACTTCGATAGCTGTCCACACTCATCAAGAAACTGTGACAAGGAGCGTTTCTTACGAGACCTTCTGAAAGTGCAGTCGGCAAATCATGACCGCTGCCCGGCATGTGGATTCAGAATGAAATATTTTAGGCATTTTGCTTGTTGTCCCCACCCCCACGTTTGCTGCAAACATCTTGAGATCCAAATATGGGCACTTCCCAGAGTACTCATGAACAGCCAATGAGATATACCCCACTCTCTGAGAGACGCTGAGCAGGAGAGAGAAAGAAAAAAGAAAAACAGCAAAAAGGAAAGAGCTGTGTGTCTGAGACACCCCCTTCACTGGCCTCCATTCTGTCTGCAGACATGACCTGTGAATAGTAGTCAGATCACTTCCTCTCAAACCACTGAGAGCCACTCTACTGGAACCTGCCGCTGCAACCCTTAAAGTCAAGGAGAGGCAACTGGTTCATAATGAGCAGCTTCTTTAAGGTGATTTGTCACGTTAGATCGTTGCCTGCTCACTGCTCTGCCTTGAGATCGTGTTCTCAGACACTTTGCAGACTTGTGCGACACATCATCCAACAACACTACCAGCAAATCTCCCAAAGAGACATGATATGGGGCAAAGGTTAAACCCCTGACAAACAATGAAGATGTTTATTAATCTCCAAGCACTCAAAAATTCAGTCTGAACAACTTACCTGCAAATTTACACACAAAACCCTAAGAAGGAAATCATTTGCATATGATTACACAAAAGTGAAAATAAAATAAAATATATCAGTTTCCTCAAGTTGCAATAACTCATATTTCTGCTTCCCGTGTTAGATCTGAGCAGCTGAAAATTTTCACCCTGAATTTTCTAAATAAGGTCATTAAGCAATCTGAAATGGGACTATTATCTCACTCTGTTGCTGGCACTTAACAGAGCTGTTTAATTTGTGCTCTGTTAGATCATTTCTGTAAAACCTTGGCTCATTAATAAAAAAAAAAACAACAACACGCAGCTGACATCCCCCAGAGAGGAAGAACCCTTTACTGCGCCATGATCTGGAGGTAAAGAGCAGCGAGGGTTAGTCCACCACCTAAGAAGAAGACTTCTTAGTGTCAGTGGGTAATTTGTTTACATTCAAGCTGCAGCAAAGCCGCATGTGTGTGCCTCTATGGAAAGCTCATTTGGCATAAAATGCAAAGACCCTTTAAATGCAGTTCCATTTCTAGTTGATCGAAATGAACATTTCAGCGATCTAGAATAAAAAGCCTTTCAGCCACTGATAGAATTTCAGACGGGAATGCTCAAAGGTCGATGATATTAACAAATAAAATATCATTTGTTGAGATGAAATCCCCATTTTTATCACCCTCGACTTTCATCATCACTCCCACGAGCTTCAGCATCTCGGTTACTAAAAATCTACAAAACGTGCAGAAATCAGGGACAGAAAACACAACCAGCTCGTCAAAATATATAAGAGTTATTATTGCACACTTCTGATGCGAAACGATTGATTTTCCGCTCAGTGCAAGTGAATTGATGATTAGTTTATTATTGTGCAAATAGAAATTCAACTCCGTTCCTCTGTTCTGATTTATGTGCACAACACAAGTGCTTCAAACTTTAAAAATGATTTGCTGTATGACTAAACATCTTGTCAAAGTAAACATTATGTTCTGAAGTTTATCCTGTTGCAGTCTATTTCTGCAACAGGGTATGACAGATATATGATATCAAAACTGAAAAGGATGAAATTAATTAAATTTCAGTTTCTGCTTTCGGGCATTTTTCTGTAATTTACTACTTATTTAGAAATCTTCAGAATGTTTCATATGAGGCAGTCATGGTACCAATATTATTCTTCTTACTGAAAGTTGCCATTATGGAGCGATTCAGAGACAGAGTCCTCACTTGAATCTTACAGAATAGATTGTCATCACCCTAAATATTAGGGTGATGACAAGGAGGCTTTCCAAACTCAAAAACTTGTCAGTTATCACCAAGGACAGCCAATCAAAATGCCAGTGGGAACATGTAAAGCTGTCTTTTTCAACTGAAAACAGAGAAAGGTATGAATAAAAATGTCAATATAGCATTTGTAATAAAATGTCATAAAAACAGACATTGTTACATTGTTGTATCACCGGCAGCAATCATTGGCTGAATGAAAATATTTCAAAACTAAAATCTGCCAGAGGTATTAATAATTTGGAATGTTTATAGACATTTTAAGCATATTTAGTTTCAAGTCAGAGTAAAAAAATAAACAAATAACAGGTCCTATATGAAACAAATATAAAAGTGTGATTTTGAGTGTATGGCGCAACGTCCTGCCCTAATCCAACGACGTCTTGCGTCGCCATGAGAAGAGGCCTCGCTGCTGCTCACGGGGCTACTAATCAATCCCGCTGTTCCCAGTTTGGGCTCGCTGCCGCAGACCACCCTGGTCCAGCAGCAGCGACTAATCCGAACCCTGGGCTCGGAGCGACGAGCTCAAAACACACCCGGGGTGGCTGGAGGGGTGGGGACAGAGGGGTGTTTGCATTACAATCCTCTAAAAGCATAACGGGAGATTAGCAATTATTATTACGCAGCCGCAGCAGTCGAAATTAACGAGCTGCAACAATTAGAGACGTGCGGAGAGTCTGGGCATGCGCGAAACCCGTAGGCGAGGGTCTCGTGACAAGAAAAACAAAATAATTTATTCAGCGACATTAAAAGGGGTTATGTTAAATTTATCTCTGAATATTAACTTTCTCTGGGGGGGAAGCAAGAATTTAAACATTTTTGTGTTTACAAAAAAAAAACAATGACACCTGCGACATAGAATTATATTAGTAATAATAATTATTATTATACTTACTTTCACCGTTTATTAGCCCACACTGGCATATCACACAGGTACAGAAGATAAAAAACACCAGTTGTGCTCGCAGTTTCAGCGTCAACCACTTCATTTTGATTGAAGTTGATCTCTCTCCCTCTGAAGGTGTTTAGGAAACTCCAATCCTGGTGGGCTGGGGGTGTGGAGGAGGAGGGGGGAATGTTTATATTAGAGCAGATATCAAGTTATTTCTCCTCCTCGGCCAAGTATGCGTCAAGAAACAACTAAATTATGTGATCTTGGGTTCTGGTGACACATGTGCGAGTGAAAATCATTTTCCATAAGTGCAGGCGACAGTCCCCGTTCATCTGTTTGATGTTGATGCTCCAATAGACGCAGGAAAAAAAAAACGATCCCTCGGTTCCGAGGTTTTGCTAGTTGGTGAGTATCTTCCACTGAGATAACAGGGAGTAGTTCCAGCCGAAGTTGAAAGTCTCCAGGATCGCCGCTGCAGCTTCTTCCTTCTCGTCTTCTCCCGTTTTAAGACCAATGGAGGTACATCCCAGGAAACTCCCAGCAGGAAAAACGTGCAGTTTTCCCCCCTTCTCTCCCTCGCTCTCTCTCTTTCTCTCCAGCACTACGACCTTCCTCTGAACTCCTTCACCCCCGCTGACCACCGCGCCGCAAACGAATAACAACCCATAAAACAAAAAAAACACCAAACCGGGGGAAACGCAGCAGACGAGACGAGCGTCACCTTTTTAACCAGAAACCTTGAAGACTGCGGTGGAGGAGGGGGGAGACAGAAAAACGTCCTTGTTTAGCCCCGTGAAGTGAGAAAAGTCTCCACCACGCCGCTCCGATGCTTTTTTTTTTCCTCTCCACGGTGGAGGAGAGGGGAGAAGCTAACGTTAGCTGGCTAATCCAAAACAAACGAGGTTTCGGCGGTGGAGTTGGAGATAACTGTCAAAAGCGCACAAAACACACTGAGAGAGACCGCGACAAAAAGGAAGGAAATCCGAGTGAAAAGACTCAAAAATACGGGGGCAAGTGGAAAAACTTGGATTCCCGTTGCGTTAGGAGCTCGCTCTCCCTCAGGTTCCCCGTTTCCGTCTCTCTTTCTGCGAGCCTCTCCACCAGTAAACAAGTCCTGCCAGTCACCTCAGCTGGGCCCGCGGTCTGCGGGAAAACACGGAGAGAGGAATCCGCCCTCTCTTCCTACGCCTCCCTCCGGCGCGGCCTGGATCCGGACCGACTGTCTGTGCGCCAGGTGGGCAGGAAACAAGACAACAAGAGCAGCCCTGTCACCGGAATAACACCGTCTACTGGAGAGTAGTTACATGTTAACACAAACAACACAATGTTAGGATTGGAAGGTCTACCTTAATAGCAATGAAACGTCTCAAAACCAAGTAAATAAAGAAATATATGTTTTTGGTAACTGTACCTTCACTGAACTGTCTCTTCTCTCTTTTCTTTATTTTTATGCGTTTTTTTACCTTGTGTGACTTTAACTACTGTGACACCTGAATTTCCTCACCGTGGAATAATAAATTTTATATATGTTATATTCTATTTTAAAACAATTACTTCTCATTCGTCATGTCTTAAACCAATGTCAGTTTATCTATATAGCTCCAATTCACATTAAGGCACTTTTTAAGATTAGCAGGTTCATTTCCAGCATATTTGGTTCCAGTTCAATTAAATTTATTCTGATATAAATGTACAATATTGAATATTCGACATTGAATATTCAACATTAATAATAATAATAAAAAAAACCTTGATTAACATGCAATACTTTAACAACACACTCAGGTTTTTATTGAACTTAAAATGAGAGTAAAACAAAGAATCATTTCTAGATTTCTTTTTGAAGATTGAAGTTTGTCAGCACAAATTGCACCCTGGGAGCCTTTAAAACTGTGTCTGCCTGCATCAGATGCCTGACCAAACAATTCTTGAATTGTAGTGTTGCCACAAAAACTCAATAGGCCCCAGATGGATGCAGAGACCCCTCATTTAGTAGGATTTAGATCGAGTTGCCTATATTTTTGACTTACCTGGAAGCTTTGCCTGCATGTTATTGACAAAAGTTTGCATTTCACTTCTCTTCAACAGTTTTTCTACGCATGTTTTGTAGGTTCTTGTTTTTTTCTGCTGCACAAGCAGCATTCTGCAGATATTTGTAGTTTTCTGCAGAAATGTACAAAATATTCAGACTAGCTTTTAGCTTATTCAAAGCTTCTGTGTACACAGAACAAAAGAACAGCAGTTTTTCTTTTTTAATTTATGTAAGTGGTTTTATGGTGTCAGTGACACTAAGGATATTCCACTTGGTATAAAATACAAAGGACCTTTAAATGTTAAATTTTTAGTTGGTCAAAATTAACATTCCAGTGATGCAGAATAAAAATCTGTTTTGCTGCTGCTCAGATTTTAGACAGGAAGGCTCCAAGTCTAGTGATGATATTACCAAAACAATGCAGTTACAATGAGATTACTTTATTTGGAATACCTTTAGCAACTGTTTTCTGATACAGCAAATTGATTTTCTGTCAGCAGTGAAACCATCTCTTTTAGAGTCACACTATGTACTATGTATTGTACATTATTTTTGCACTACAAAAATACTTATCCTGAGTCAGGAAGACACACAAAGTTCTGCCATCTTTGCATAACAAATATCCCCCTAATAAAGCACGTCCCATAAAATTGACGTATTTTAACTGCAAACAATACCTGGGAATTTTCTTCCCACCTCTGCGGTTCTGCCACCTGTGCTGTTGCTTCAGAATGGAAAAATAAATAGATTATTTATCACACTGGGGTGCAGTTTGTCCGGCTGGATAGGCGCATGTGGCTCTGCAGGGCTGCGGCGCAGGGGCAGGCTTTTTGTTAATCTGAGGAATGTTGTTGCCCAGTGAACGGAGTAAATGAGTTCCTAGCGAGATTAAATGTCACAGGTCTGAAGGACTAAGGGTTGGAGAATCTAGTCAAAACAGACCTCTTTGTGGCAGTCACGCTGTCTGACGCCAACTGGAGACGTGCACCTCCCTCTTCACACTTGTCCCACTTCCTCTCAGGTGCTGAATATCACTCCGATCTCGTTCCCTTTTCTGTGGGTGTAGAAGAGGTCGGATGAAGAGCTTTCTATCGCACTAACCTACCTAGAGAGTCGCTGTATGAGTGCATGCATGCAGCACTTGTGCGCCACTACAGTCCTGCTCCCGCTCAGTTGTACTACAGCTTAAATTCAGTAGGTGGCACCAAAAATAACAACCAATTCACTCATTCCAAATGTCAAACAGGGACAAAGGGATACAATGTTGAGGGTAAATAGGATTAAATTCCACCAAAGAGGCAACCGAGGGGAGCTTTGCACCCTGTCAAATGAACAAAATGTGATTTTATCAGCATTGTGCGGCTGTAGGAATTCTTAAGCTTGCAAATGGGGAATTTAAAATCTTTAGGGTTTGAAATTCCTGTAGTTTTTCCAAAGAGATCACCTCCAACATTCACAAAGACGCTATTCTCCACATGGATATTGTTAAGCAGCAGTGCCCGTCAATAAATGAAGGCAGGGCTGAGGCGATTGATTGGATTTGGAGTGATGTAAATAACACAGAGTGGGAAGAGATTTAGGAAGCATCAGAGTTTTTTACTAATCCAGTGTTGCAGGTTTGTTTGTTTTGTTTTTTATGCATTTAACTCATCCTAAAAATAAGGCTGAGATTAATTTCTCCCATCAATTTATGTTTTTTCTTTTTCTAGTTCCACATCTTTGTAAATGGAAAGAATTTTCTTTGATAATTTTTGGTTGTCCAAGTTCCTTCGAATTTGCAGCGACATTGCTGGAGTTATTTGCAAAAGTATTTGCACCTTGTAAACTGTTTTTTCTCCCGAAGTTTGTTAAATTATGATTATAAAAGACAGCAAATAGATGCACAAAAGGGAAACCCTGAAAAGAAATGACACATCAATGTCTAAGAACAACTACTTTAATGTCATTTAAACCTTCATTACAACTCATTGCAGCATAAATATTCAGGAATTAAATAGCACAAGAACTAAATGTCATCCATTGTTCTAAGATAAATAAGCACAAAAAAACAAAACACCTCACTGTACAATTCACAAGACAGAATGCAGAACGTATTGTACTACAAAAAAAATAAAAAATAACATCAATGAAAAATTTATACATTTATACCCAAGAAATAACTAACCTACAGACAGAAACAGTATATAGACAGGATATGAGACACTCCTCTCTAGGCAGTGGAAGACATTATGAATGGGCACATATCTGGTTTGCTTATTTAAAAATGGAGTTTCATAAATGCTGGTACTATTAGCACTAATTTTGGTTAAAGATGAATGAGAAACAGCTAATGTTTTTTAAAAGTAGACATGATAAGAAATGCTAGTATAGTAGTTTTTACGTTTTTTTTATGTTGCATTTTTGAAACAGATTGACACCAAAAGAAAGACTGAGTCCATCTCCAGGCTCTGATAAGAAGCTCAGTTGTCCACTTTGTGGCAACAAACTGGTCGGTCTCTTTTGTGATTAATATGTTATTATTGATTCAGACAACATCAACTGGATGCCAGAGATAATTCAACATTAGGCCCTGCGGAAAGCAAATATGTCTACTTTAAAATGTGTCCGATTTGATGTGTTTGTGTTCTTATGTTGAACCCCTAATGGTGATTTTGTTAGGAAGCAGCAGCAGAGTATATGCACCTTAACTCTACACAATAAATTAAAAAGCAGCAGATACATGGATTGACATTCTCTTCATGCATTTAATAAAATGTTTGTAAGACTACATGCCTTACACTCACACAGATGAGGGTTAAAAAGATTCCCACTGACTCTTTCTGCAGCCACCTGAACTGCAGCCAGTAAACAGAAGGATTAAGACATTTCTGGGGAAAGAGCATCTTTCCTTTGTCCAAGTGGAAACCTCAGTAATTAGCTGTCAGGGGAAGGCAGGAGGGAGCGTTCGGTCTCTGTGTGTGTGTGCATGTGATTGGCTGGGTCTACCAAGGAGAGGGTCACGGGTTTAGAGATACAAAACATGCTGGGATTATCCTCTTCAGCCCATTCCCTGTGTTGTTGATTTGCTCCTTTGTGCTCTCTGCTTCTGCACTTCAAACCCTCCTGTTCATGGTTCAGGAAAAGCAAAATCATCTCTCCTTTCTCCACATCTGACACTGAACCACTCAACCAGCATGTCATCATGTGTGTGATACTGTGGGCACCCATTTTAATATTTGTCCTTTGTCCTGAGTTAGTCTTTGAGTATGAAAAAGTGTTGTCAGTTTTCTTGTTTAGGTTTAAAGTTCAAATCAAGATTGTCTTTGAATGTTTTCATTGTTTTCTATGTTAAAACCAGAAACTTCGATGTATTTCATTGGGATTTTTGTGATAAATCAACACAATGTCGTGCATGTCTGGAAAGGAGAAGGAAACTGATTTATATCATTAAAATGAAACTTGAAAACTTTGGTATTTGTATTCAATCCACTTTGCCAGAAACGTGGAGACCCATATTTCAACGAAAAGACAAAAATAATAATAACAATTTTTAAAAGTGAACAAAAAGTGCATCAGGAGGAAGAAGTGTTTGCACATTCTTTTGTAAAAATAGCTCCATCTGCTCAGTCTGCTCAAAATAATTCAATCTGATTGGATGCAGATCTTGCCCCAAACTGTTAAACTTAGAAAATTAATCCACAACAACCACACATTCTTTAGTTTTTAAAATAAATGCAACCAGATACTTGAGTTCTTCTGCTTGAGTTGAGTTTTAAACTCAAGTAGAAGAAAATATTAAATAAATAATGTATTCATAGTAAGTTTTGGCTGATTGATGCTTTACAGGAGGCTCATTTCGCCTTGAGAATATAAAAACATAAGAGGTAAAAGGCAAATGTTCATGGCTTTAATGACCTGGTTTGACAGTATCTGACTTGACCGTGAATAACTAAAATTGGAGTTACTTTGTGCAGTAAATGTATCACTATGACATTGTCACAATCCAGCTGTAAATAAATCCTTTAGTTATTAAATATAATTATGTCAGACTGCCAAATAGTTTCACTTTTCCTGCTTCAGTGCAACATTTTGTTCAGGCACTGAAGTATTTTCTTGATCTAATTATGTCTTTATAAAAAGGTGAGTCATTTCACTACTGCTCTGGATGGTGACTGCATTCTTCCAATAAGCAGTTTCTGTGTCAAACTGCAAGATGTTCTTTGTGAGAAACATAACCGCGCTGGCTTTGAGCTGGATCATTGTAAACACATACGACAATCTAACTTTCTTTTTTTGTCTGTACGTCAGTCTGAGGAAGTTGATTCTTCACGCTCCCAGAAGAGAAGATGTTCAGGAC